GCCCTGGTAATTAGAAGGTATCTGGGGTTAAAGAATGGCCACAAAGGAGGCCCTATGATGGAGTAGAACTCGAAGTCAGATGGCTTCAGGCATTGACCTAGAGTGTGAGTTTGGACCCGCCACTTGGCTTTGTCTTCAGTCTGTCTGGTGCACAGTGGTAGCATCAAGGCAGTCATCAATACCTATGTTGAAAGTTGTAGAATAGGTGTAGTGTCTTATTTTTTGCACTGGGGAACCCAAATCCTTCACTAATTGCTTTTCTTGCTTTCCCTCTAGAAAAATCTGACTAGAGAGTCCAACATGGGCCGGAGTCTTATGTACCTCATACAGGTAGGACGTGTCCTCTGGTCAGACTTAAGAGCTCACCTCTGTTTTCACAGCTTTGGCAGGGATCACCAACTCTGTCTAGTGTGAATACACTGTTTGTTTTCCTTGTCTTTCAGTTTGCCATTGGAAAAGTCCATTAGTGCTGAATGACATGATTAAACAGTAAGGGAGAGAACAGTTGATGTGTTAATAATTCTTAGGTAAATATCATTTGTTATTGTCACCACTGAGGCTTTCAGAGCGGTGGCACCATTCCTGATCCTATACTGTCTCTTGGCTCTGTCTTTTGGCGACCTGGAAAGACAGGTTTGGAGAGGAAAGGAATCTGAAAGAGACTGGTGAGCAAGAGGAAGGAAGGGTATGGGAATGAAATAAGGACTCTGAAAGAGACAGACACAGCAAAAGAAAAAAGGGCAGACACATGCACGCACACACGCACGTACACACAGACGTGAGCACACCCACACATAACAAAGTAGAGAAGACAGAGAGCTAATGATTGATCTTTTACTGAATTCCCTCATCCTCTTGTGCTCTGTCTCAGAAATGCTGGTGCCTGGACATTCATATATTAGCTGCTCTCTCTTGATCCTCCTGGTTCCACATCTGCTTTTGCAACAATATTTAGGAGGTGCACCCTCTCTGACCTGCTGTGATTCAGAGGGGAAATGATCTTGTCTGCATTAGGAAAATCACCATGAGGAAATTTCATGACATCGCCATGGAGGCCAAGAGGAAAAAAAGGGTTTTCCTAGAAATGACTCCATGTTGGAGGTGGTATTGGTGGAGGAGGAGCAATCATAGCCAAGCAAATATACATTTGAATGCAAGGATTTATGAACAGGTAAACAGATAAACTGGCTTCTCCTCCAGCTATGAAAAACTGAACTTGAGTCTCACTCTTATGATAGGCTTTCATGCCAAATGATAGTACATATCTGGAGCTATGCTTTTGAGGATATCAGACACAATTTTTTAAAATTTCACTTCCTAGATAGGAATTGTCAGATATGATTTTAACCTAGGATATGCACCTTGAAAACATTATATTGGCTAGATATCATTTCAATCCTAGGCTGGACACTCAGAATACCTCTTTATGTATCATATAAATTCTGAAGAGTCCCTTTCTTTGTTCAGTGTATTATATTCTCACAATGTTTTCAAAGAGAGACAGTAGCATATCATGATTAAGACCTCAACTTCGAAGTCTCTCAAGCAGAGGTTCAAATTTCAGCTCTACCCCAGACCAGAGAAATCTCAAGAAAGATTATTACCTTTCCTCATCTGTGAAGTGGAAATCAGAGCGGAGCCTTTGCTGGTCATATAGCTCAGCAGCACAGCGCTTGCCTGGCAAGTGTGAGATAGTAAGTTTCAATTTCAGTACAAGAAAAAGCAGTAGAACCCTAATCTTCAGGATAAGGCGAGGATTAAAATGTAACAGTAAAATGCTTAGTACAATACCTGTATATACAAATCCCTTGTAAAATATAGAATGATCAGGTGTTAGAGTCTGTTCACTTGATTCCCATACCACTGTGAGAGGCAGGTGTGTGTCTCCACTTAATAAAGAAATTAAGGAATAGAAAAGTTAACTGACTTGTCTATAATCTCCAGTCATTTAGAGTTGAAGTTAGGGTCAGAAAAAAAACAGCCAATGCCTCCACCATACCATTATGAAACAGGGCTTTCAAGAGACCAAGCTATGAAGGAGAGAATGTGAAGAGAGAAAAAAAGAGGGATAAGGATTTGGCCTTGGGGAACAGATGCCACTAAAGAATGAGAAGAGTAAGATCTGGAGAATAGCTACTCAGGAAAGCAGAAAATAAGAGAGCGAGGTCTTTTTCCAAAATATGGGAGAAAAGGGAGCCACTAGGATCAAAATCCATGAAATTAAAACCAATACCTTGCAATATGAAAGTAAGAAGGTCTTCTGTTTATTTTTTCAACAACTATTTGTTTTGTTTTGTTTTGTTTTTTGGAACCAGGAATTGAACTCACGACCTCACACCTGCCAGGCAGGTGCTTGTGCCACTGAGCTAACTCCCTGGCTTTCAACAACTATTGGATCAAGAGTGCATGTGAGGCACACCCTCACCCTAGGAGAGTGTTGGTGCAAATGGAAAGCCAGGTCTCTGTTCTCTGAGGATGTATGCCCTAGCAGGGAAAGTAAACAGGATAAAATTAACTAATCAATGAAAAATATAATTTTGATGTGACCCCTTCTGAGGAGACAAAAAATGGAAAATATAGTAAGAATGTGATTTCGGTAAGTGGGCGCCTAAAATAGTGGTGATTAGAAAAATATACTTTTTTAGCTAAGACCTGGGAGGAGCCACCTGAATATCAAAAGGACATTGTAGGTGGTGACAGCAGGTGAAGCAAAGTCCCTGAGGCAGGAATGAGTTTTAATTTGACCTTCAAAAGGGCAGTGTTACTGACTTGATGTCAACAGAGGCTGGCCTGAAATAATAGCTAATGGAGAATAGCTAATGGACTTATAAAGAGAGAACCTAAGGGTGATCATCAGGAAGAAAAGATAAGAGACAGTGTTCTTGATGCCATCTGGAGCAGACAGTGGGCAGTGGTGGCCACACTTGTTTAGGAGACCTCTCATTTCCCTTCCCCTTGCAGTGATGTCCTTTCATTGCCAACATTCACAACCAGAAGGCCATATTTAGCATATCCATATCAGTAACTATAAGGTGTTTGTGGGGCTGGAGGTCAGAATAATCAAATCCTCCCACTGTAAACCTCTACTGACAGCATCAAACTTGTTTGTACTCAAAGATACTGCCATCACTCCCACAAGCACAAGGATATTTGTGTCAGATCTTTGTTATTTGTTCTCTACAATTCAGGGTCACCCTTGGTTTCTAAGTCTTCCTAGATCTTGTCTTGCTAGTTAGGTTTGCTCACTCCCTTGTCCAGCCATACCCACCATCCCAGATCAGATGCTAGAGCAGGGCAATCCAGTGGAATTTTCTTTAATGATGGAAACGGTCTCTATCCGGGCCAGCCAATGCGATAGCCTCCTGCTGTCTATGGCTGTTCAGCACTGGATTGTCTGGGAAAGTTAAAATTCAGGAGGGTTCATTGTTTCTAGTCACTTTGCAAGTTCTTTGTGATTACTGAGAAATAAGCCAACACAAATAATTTAATGCCCAAGCCAGTGAACCAGGGAATCTCTTCTCTAGGAGAAAAAAAAATGGAATATATTCAAAATTGTCTAAGTTTAATATGCAGGACTATTATCAGCATGCTTATTTGGCCCAAACATGAATACACCACCTCTACATCTGAGATAGTTATTTCTCAGGTGTGTTCTAATGAGTGTTAATTTCATGAATTCTTTGATGAAAAGGATCCATTAACTCGGCAGGGGAAATTGAGAACATCTTTACTTTCCTTTGTACATTCATAATATGCATCATTATAAAGACTCTGAGAAGTCCTACAGTATGTAGCTCTGAAAATATTGGCTGACTTAGTAGTTCTCTATCATGTTTGACCACAAAAATCTCTGAGTTTGTGGTGCGTACATGAGGGAGAGTGGGGGGGGGAGATCTAGAGGAACTAGAGAAATACTAAGGTTAGAGCAAGTATTTCAGGAGTGCAGGAAGTTGAACTTGCATACACAATGCCAGGTTTACTACTTATTAGCTGTGTGACCTTGAAAAAATCGCCTTTCTGATCTTCATTTCCTTCATTTGAAAATTATGGGTTATATCTACATATCACAGACTTGTATGAGGATTTAAATGCAGTAGTGTGTATAAAAAACATATCGCAGCTCTTGAGACCAAGAGAATCTTCTCAAAATAGTATTAATAGTCTCATTGTCATTTATAAAGTTAAGTGACTAAATGACAAACTTTTTGGACCAGGGAAAAACGTATGCTGAACTGCCAAAGCCCACTAATTGCCTAGAAATATGTTGAAGCACTGTATTGGAAATCCGGATGAGAGGGGGATTTTTTTCTAACTCCCTTTATTCACCCTTAGTAAGAATATCCACCAAGCACTGTCTACCTACAATCCACTTTCAACACAATAACCAGAGGGGGTCTTTTGAACTGAAAGTTGGAGTGTATCATTTCTCTAGGCTCCCTATCTATGTAAAGAAAGAGCTAGACTTCCGTAAAGGCCTCCAAGCTCTGTGTAATCGTTTCGGCCCGTGTTTTTGTTAACTTCCTACCACCGCTGCTGTGGCAAACAGACATTCTTGCTGTTCCCTGGACAGGACAGGAAGCTTGAACTTGCTGGTACCTCTGGTATGGATCACTTGCCACTTACCTTCACGGCTCCTTTCCTTACATCTTCTAACCTTTTGCAGAAATGTTTGCTCCTTAACTCAACCTAAACTTGGCAGGACACCCTCACGTGCTCCAGCACTCTCAATTTCTCTTCCTTGTTCTATATTTCTCTACTACACATGCAATATCCCATGTTTTAGTTGTGTTTTTTCTTCATTTCCACCCAAGGGAAGATAAACTCGGCTCTTTCATTCCCTACCATAATCCAGTACCTAGGGCAGTGCCTGGCACATAGGAGATGCTTGATAAATATTTGTTGGGTAAATGAATGCAGAAGCCATGAATGTTCCATTACATGGCTGAGTGTCTTTCCTCCAAGCCCAGTTCTGGGTGGTTGGTTGAAGAATGAAGCACACATTTACAGGATGGTTTCTGTATGTTTTATTAGTGTTTTCTGGGGCCCATCAAACAAACCAAAAAAAAAAAAAAAACCCATATTTTGAAAAATATAATTTTCTAATAAAATAGGAATGCTCAGTTTAACATAGTTTAAAGGGAAAGATTTCTGTTTAAAAAAAAAATAGAAGCAGTAGGGTAGCTTTCCACAAACTGTCAACCCAGAAGCCAGATGGCAAGAAGAACAAGACTTATTTAGATAGCTACAGAAAGATTAATCCCAATTTAGTTCAACTTGTAAAGGCCTGCATGTTTCCAAGGTTTATTACACAAAGTCTCAACGGTTTTTTTTTTTTTTCTGTTTCTTTCTTTCAATGCTGTATGATTCCAGAAACCAAATCCTGAGAACCAAAACTGAGGGTAATTTTGTTCAGATGTTGGAGTACTGTGATGTTCTTCCATCCTGTAAGTTCACATGGACGATCTGCTGTACTCTGCATAATAAGACAAGCTCCTCATGTATATGGATCCATGCGGTAGGCACTCACCAAATGCTTTTGTTAGAAAACTATAGAATAATATAATTATTTGCCCCCTTAGTGCCTTACCTTTTCTTATAGTTTAGACATCTGAAAAACAACACACTTGCAAAACGAAAATCTAACATGTACTACTAACCTTATCAAAAGATCCCTCAAAAAGAAAAATAAAATAAAAACCAACCCCAAAATACCAAAACTTACAACTCTGTTATGCTTAAATAGCAATTTACATTGTATAAACACATTCATAATCTTCATTGGCGTCAAGGGGTTAATTACGGGTGCCTTGTACCAGAGAAGTGTCACAGTTCCACATAAGTTAACAGAATTCTCCTCCAACACACGCTGACTTGTGGAACCAAACAGCCTGTTTGGATTTCGTTTCAGCGCTGGTGGGAAAGGGAAAGTAAAAAGTCTCACAGTAAAATGTTCATAATAGATAATATATCCTGGAAGATTTGACTGTGGTCTCATATTCCAGTGAAGAAATGATTCATGTTCCAATTATAGATATGGCCTCCCAATCAGAGAAGTCTTCTAGAAGGCATTCGCTCATTAATTCAAGAGATATATACTGTGGTACCTGCATCATGCCAGGTACCAGAGAAACAATAGCAAGAAGACATGATCCCTGGGGTCAAAGAGCTTACAATCCGGTGAGATAAGAACTTTAAAAAAAGGATCAGCATGTTCAGAGGAAAGCTCGTAACTTGGGTCTGCCCTGCTCAGGTGGCACCTTCAAGAAACTGTGTGTTCTGAGAGCCAGGACCTTGGTCAGATTTTATCAACACAAGTGGTGTCTCAGATGATCTAAGTCTTGTGAAGACTTAGCAGTCGAGCGTGTGACTTAGTTTCCCATAACTTGCTAAGAAAGGAGAACAGAGCCTTTGATTTAAAGAGATTTTAGGAGACTGTTCAGTGAGTAGGTGGACATCCATCAGATAAGTTTCTCAAGTGAGAAGCTGTAGCCCCAAAACAAAGGGGACATTCCTCAGGAGACCTTTGCACTCCCTTTTAACACTAGTAGGAAGTATTCTGTTCACACCCCAGGTTGGCATAGCTCGATTACCTTGTGATCTCCAAGTCACGAATAGCACATAGAAAATGCAGCAAAGTCAAGCCAAGACAACAGAGAGATACGCTGAGAACTTAATACCGGAGCCTACTTCAATAGGTGCCAGGTGCCAAAGAACTGTCACTTTCAACGAATAACACAATTTGCTGCTTATCTGCAAAAACTGTTCTCTTTAGTCCTTCCCAGACTTAACTACTGCATAGCAAAGACTGTTCCTCAAAGAAAGGCTGTGGAAAGAGCCAAAGCCCCTCAGGAGGGGGTGTACGGAACCTCTAGGTTTGAAGAAGGGTGAGCACAGTGAAGATTTAGCTAGTGGAGATGATGAACAGGCAAAGCCAGGGAAAGAGTGGCAGAAAATGAGCAGATAATCCAACAGCTTCACACAGTTCAGACACTCGGGGATGCACAAACACCTGCATGTTTACACAGGTAGCCAGATGGTGGGAAGGTCTGCATGTTTTTTAACTTTAGAAAGTAAGGTGTTTTTATGCAGAAATAACCTGAGTTCCATAGCCGATCTTTGCTCTTCAGTGGTACTTTTCTGAGTCCTCTCAATAACTGTTACTTGTTAATAAAAGCCGTGTGAGGTTGACCAAACTATATAGAAATGAAATGAATTTGTCTCTATTTTCAGAAGGTAGATCATGGGTGCTCCAAGATCACTACCCACAATAGTCCTCATTGTAAGTAAAATGAATTTTTAATTTTTCTTACTTCCAGCCTTCTTTATATACAAGTACTCAGCAACCACTTAGTATGAATTCCTCACCTTTGCCGGGTAAGACACCGTGGTGGGGCTCTATTGGCTGATGAAGTTTTCATTCTATCTAATCAATATAAACACAAGTTTTCATTCCATATAATCAATGAAGACAGACAGGCAGGATGAAGGAGAAAGTCAACAGCATGAGGAAGCCAAAAAGTAAAGTTGCACAAGGAATCGTGATGTTCAATTTTCAAATTGTCTACAAATTTTTATCCTGGATTTCATGGTCAAGTGGGTCACCAGCTATTCCAGAATAATCCCAGTACTAGGGAAAAAGCTTCCAAAACCTTACTCCTGAGCTGAATTTTCTGTTTGTCTTTTCTATCCTCCATGCCTTTTCTTTCTTTCTTGTTTTAAAACATTCCTCTGAATGCAAGTCTCAGCAATAAACCACTCACTTTGAGATGAGTTCAGATGGGACAGAGATGATTCAAAGACAGATCGTAATAATTAATACACGCAGAGGGTTTTCCCTGGACAGTTCTTCTCTTCCTCTCCACCCCACCCCCCAAGTTTTCTCCAACAATTCTAGGAGAAAGGAAGAACAGATAAATCATTCTGAATAAATATAAAGCCCCCCACCATTATTCTCACTGATTGAAACATTCAAAGTCACGTGATTATGCATTGATTATAGCCCACCCTAGATTCTAGAAATCCCCCATTCTTCACTCTCTGGCTCTTAAATATCGGGTTAAACTTTCCAGCACCCTTCTGATTTATCCCATCAATCTGAGACTCTGAACTTCAACCCAACAGCCATGTCCTCGCTCTAGCTGAGGTCCTGCGGGTGCTCATGTGCAAAGGACACATAGTCTTTTCCTAAATCATTTTGCATATGAAAACATTTAATGCCCTCTGGATTTTTTTCTTTCTCTTAGCAAGAAGCACAAGGCAATAAGCCCTGTTATTCTTCAGATGGAAATCAAAGCTTCACGACAGAGGCAAAAACAAATCGTGACCACATACAGCATCATATTTCACAGAAAACTGTGTACATTTGTTCCCCATATAGGACATACTTCAAAGTAACAAAAAACTTTCCATCAACTGTAGTGTTCCTTCTTGCCGTTAGAAGTCGATGTTTCTCCTCGTGGTACATAAATATCAGAGAAAAGTAGTCTTTGAAATATTTCCGTCCAGGAGTTCTTTGCTGGTTATTATTTATCTGGTGCATGTTTTGCTTTGTGTTCCAAGAGGTGGCAGCCTCAGTTCTCATTTTCTCTCCACCCACGAGCATTCTTCCCAAATTTATACACCAGCCTGCGTCCATCTACCCGTTCCAGAATTTCTCTTTTGTAGTAGTATCTGTAACAAAGGAAATCCCATAAGGCGGTTGTTCAGACAGAGACTGCCAGGTAAAGAGCTGGTTGCATGGCCTCATCATCTGGGGAGACGTGACACTTCTTACCTCATGGCCCGGCTGAGCTTTTCGTATGTCATGCTACTGTTGTTTTTCTTTTTTCCCCATAGCTGAGCCACGGCTTCTGATTTCAAGAACCTGAAGATGCCCTCAGACCGGTCTTCCCACTTGATTAACCCTGGGTTCTTGTCTGGGTTCAGGAGGATATCACGGATAAATTCCCACAAATGGGTCCCTCTTGGGTCTGTCACGAAGAGGAACAAAGTGTCACAGCACAGTGAAGACAGGGCAGAGAGCATGTTGGGTTATCATTTCTCCCTTCAAGTGAGAGACACTATTTTCCTCTGTTGGATAGGGGTAATGGATCACAGACTCACCAAATATTGTACAGGAGGAAAAGCATTTGAGAATGAACATTTAGCATAATTTTTTATTTTATATAGCATAAAGCAGAGGCACAGAGAATGTAAATTATTTGACCAAGATCACATAGTCAACCATTGGCAAAGGCAAAACTAAAAAACAGGTCTTGGATTTCTTAAGTCTGGGGAGTTTCTTTTAATTATTATTCATAATTCACTTGGGTTTTATTTCAACCACTTTTTGTAGTACTCCATCCAATTAAAAGACTGCAATCCAAAGATAAATCGATATGACCTGAAGAAGACCTGTGACTACCAAACCATACTGGGGAGGTGGGTATCACCAGATGCCATTTTGAAAATGAAGCAACCTTTGCAATGAAATTAGAAACCAAATTCAACTTTACTCCCACTGAATTTGTGACATCTTCCCTCCCACACACCATTCCAAGTGTTATGCTAATTTGCCTTTATGGGATGACCTAGAAGAGCAGATCATATGGACACTCCGATTCTCTATAGCTTCTAGATTATACCATCTTCATGCTCTCTAAGGTCTTTCAATTCTGTGTTTGTTATTCCATCTGTGTTCATAAGGCTTTAATTGTTCAGTGAGTCCTATTCCTAAAGAACACTATAAAACCCTACAGTAAATAATCATTTCTTGGACAAGAACCCCTCCAAGAAAGAATGATGCTTCTCAATCATTTCTTCCTATCTTGCTTCTCATCCCACAGTTTTTATTCTGGGAGAGAGAAACTCTCTAACTTTCTGCCTGTGAAAAGCTCTTATTCACTGGGATCTCAGTTTTAGAATAAATATGAGAGGGTAAGGAGGGAATAGCCAGGGACCCCCACTTTGAGAAACAGCTGCACACTTCCCACCTCCATCTCTTTGTGATTCATTATGAGATATATAATAAGTGTATATTTACCATCAGCTGAGGTCTCTATTTTCTCTCTCTGTTGGGAGTAAAGAACACAAATAGCAGACAGAGGCAATCTTGGCTTGAAAGTAGGGAGCCACCAGATATGGCCAACATGAGGGAGAGGACCAAAGGCCATCTGAAAGCCAGGTAACTTACTGTGCTTTTTGGTGTGCGACTTGGTAGGGTGGTCTGGCTCTTTCTTCATGTCAGGTGACTCTGCTAACGAGAAAAATGAGAACCGTTTAGTTTATTTCCTATAATGTCATTTTCTTTTATGCATTTTTGCTGATATTTATTGTGTATCTACTGGCTGCCTGGCACTGTTTGAGTCTGTGATAATGAACCAAACAAAGCAGATGGTAAGTGCTGAGGATCAAAATAATGCAGAATAAGAAATGAGATAGATACATGGAGGTGGGAATAATTTGCAATTTGATCCAAGGTGTTAGCAGCAGGCTTCCCTGGGATGTGAGGGAGCTGGCCATACAGAAAGCTTGTGGGAGAGCTTCCCATGGCTGAGGACAGTAAGTGCAAAGGCCATGAGGTTGACGCATGTATATGTACACAAAACTGAAAGAAGCCAGGATAGGTAGAAGCAACAGGCAGAACCACAGGAGATGAGGTTATCATTAATGCCTTTCAGCGCTCCTAAATGATCTGAGAGAAACAGGAAGCCATTGAAAAATTTAGGCCATAAAACTTTCTTTTTTTTTTTAACGTAATCAAAAAATGTAAACATTTACGACCAAGAAAGATGGCTGTTAAGCCAGAAGAGTGCCATGTTTTTGGCATGCAAAGTTCTATTTTAATCACCCTGACAAAGGGACCATTGAGCAGCCTGTGCACAGTACAGAGGGCCACAGTGGCCTATGGAAACACAGATTAGCTTAACAAATGACTACTATCACCAAAGCAGAGACGACAGAGGCAGACCTTGAAAGTAAGAATTCCTGTTTAAAAAAATATGCCACGCTTTCCCTTGTACGTGGAAAGTTTACAATCTCCAAGTAGATTAGAACGGTGGTCACTAGAAGCGAGGGAGGAGAGGGGGAAGCTGGCTAATGGGTAGAAAAATGCAGTTAGATAAATTCTGGTGCTCTATAGCATAGCAGCGTGACTATAATTTACAGCAATTCATTACATATTTTATAATCAGCCAGAGGTCAGGGATCCCAAGCTTCTAAACACAAACAAGTGGTAACTGGATAAGAGATAGAAATGCTATCTAACCCACCTGAGTTGGTTGTCATACATTATATGCATGTATCAAATTATCCCACTGTACCCCATAAGCACATTTGATTATTGTATATGAATTAAAAATAAAATGAAAAAAAAAAACCAAATAACGTATCAGTGAATGTGTGTGTTTCAGAGGATGCTTTGGGTGTTGCAAGAATGGAAATAGATGTTATCCCCCAAAAAATCCCATAATCAAAAGCCAGCCAGTTACAATACAAAGTAGTCCCCAAATATAAGTCAATCCTATTAAGAATTTAACCCATATACTTGTCTCTTTCCGGCACGTTCCATTAGAGTTCCCCCACTTAGGGCTCACTGACCCCTGTGTGACCTTCTAGGACATCTGGACTAACTAAACTGCATGCAGAGGGGGAGTGTAAATAGTAAGCATTCAATTGTTCAAAAAAGTTTGAGGATAGCCACTGTGGAATTCAATATGGAAATATCTCAAAAAATTAAAAATAGAAATTCCACTTGACCCAGTTGTACCTCTTTTAGTATTTCCCTGAAAGAGATAAAGACCTAGCAGAGTGATACGTGTTTAACCACGTTTATAGTGGCACAATGCATAATAACGTTTATAGTGGCACAATGCATAATAGCTAACCTTGGGAGAAGCTGCCTATTTGCCCATCAATAGATGTATAGATAAAGAAAATGTAGTGTGCTGGGTACTGTACTGTACCCAGTAAAGTATACTCAGTCAAAGAAGGATAAATTTGAACCATTTGCAAAAAAATGGTTACACTTTGAGTCCATAAATGCTAAGTGAAATAACTCAAATACCAAAGGTTAAATATCTCATAGTTTGTCTTCTGTGAGAAACCAAATGTATGAATATTTTAAACAGCAAAATAGAAGATAGATGATGGGAAGCAGGGTTATAGACTTTAGAAGGAAGGGAAGAAGATTTGGGAATGGGGAGAGAAAGGAGACAGAGGGAGAAGGGAAGTGAAAAGGATCAAGTTGTGATCTTACACGTACCAATTCCCCACAATGAATGTATTTAATATGTGCCACAAATATACACTAATTTTTTTTTAAAGTTCATGAACCATTGAACACTAGCTTCTAATTAAAATGGAAAGAAGAAAGCTACTGTTTATTGAGTCCCCACTGTGTACCAAGCCTACACTAAGCACTTTACACAAATCATCATATGTGATCTATACAATACCCCAGTACTCTGTACTGGGTATTATGGTCTGGAGTTTATAGCTGTGGCAGATCTGAGAAACACAGGACTCAAATGACTTGACTACAGTCATGTGGCCTGAAAATTGAGCCAGGAAGTGAAGTCAAATAACTGTGAACCACTCATAATCACTCTTCTGTGCCATTTCAATCTCCTTTAACCAACAGCCTTTCCTACCAAGAGTCAGAGGGGCTGGGGATTTAGCTCAGTGGCATAAGCGCCTGCCTTGCAAGCAGGCAGTCATGAGTTTGATCCCCAGTACCGATAAAAAAGAAAAAGACAAAAAAAAAAAAAATACCCCTACCAAGAGTCAGATTCATTTCTCTTCTGCTTTCATCAGTGGAAAAAACGATTCCAGTCTAATTTCCCAGTGCACATGGGCCATTCATCTGCCCCCTTACACAGCTGGTCACAGCTCAGTTCTCCCAGCAGTTTCCCTCAAAGCCATGGCAAAATGGAGAAAAGGCTTGAATAAGAGCTGGGCAGGAGAAAAACTTCTTATTCTGGTTAAGAATCTCTCTCCTGGTGTCCTCCTCAGGAGGATATGCACCTGACTTGGATTTCTCTGAAATCTAGGGGGGACAAATTCACAGGAAATGGGAGGAGACTTCACTCTCCCGACTGTACGTTGTAAGGCAAGGTTACAACATCCCATCAGGATGTGACAGTATTGCGACAGATCTGGCACCCATCCCGGTTTCCAAGTGATACATCACTCTGACAGGGCCACGTTGTTCTGCAGACAAAGAGTGGCATTTACCCAGCAGGCCACAAGCAAAGCTCATTTTCAAATGACATCCAGGATGGTGCAGGGCCATTATTTCTGTGCCAGGGTTGAATTCAGAAAATCCTGAGTGTCTCTCAGTATATTATCTTGATTGTGAATTCCAGCTTAAGGTGGAATGAATCCCTTTGGGCTTAAGGTACCTTTGTGGGTAAGATAAAAACACTGGCTCCTCTCCCCAGAAAAATGCACATGTATATACACTTGTGGAATTTTGTCACAATTTTATGGGTTCATAGCCCGTCCAAGAGTTCGTAAACTCTAACAACCTCCAAACTAGATAAACCATGCAAAATTTCCTAAGGTAAGTCACCTATGCAACCTACTCCTCCGTCTAGCTTAAGAAAAGATTGTTTAAAAATACCACTTAAGAAAAGATGTAAGAAATAATAATAATCAAAGTAAACCATGAAAACATTCCCACCATCATACAGGACAGTAAGTAACCAAAGGCAATGAAAAATAGTTGATTTCTTCCAGCCCCCTCTTCTGGTTCCAATCCACAGAATCACCAAGCTCCCTTAGCACTAAAATCTTTTGATCTACAACTTTAATACAACCAGCGTCTGCCCGTCTCTCCTCCCTGCTGCCACAAAATAAAAGTCAGGACCTTTGAAGTTAACCATGTGGTTAAGTGATTCATTGTTATAAAATAATGGCCTACTCCGGGGAGGTTGTCCAGCCTGGCTTTCTCTCCTTCCCCTCCCAAGCACTTGGGGCCAAGATCCCCAGGGTCCAGGCAGGGCCATGACAAGGCACAAATTCGTGATGCAAGGGTGACAGCATGACCTCAGCTCAACTGCTTCACAAGAAGCAAAGATTAGAAGCATTTGCATATGATTCAGCTGTGAGCCATTTCTTTACGGGATATACAAATTTCAGTGTTCTAATAGACCGTGCCACCCTCGCTTTAGGCTCCACAAGTCAGTAGATAAACACAGCAAGCCTGCGTTGGCATGATGGCTGCAGGACTATCGAGCAGATCAGAACACTGGCGGCAGCCATTTTATAAAAAGGGGCAGATGCCAGAGAAATCCAAACAAAGCCGCTTCCCCACCTGCCTTATCGCAGAGGCCATCAGTTTAGGCGAGCCCCGCCTTAGCTCCGCTTCAACTTGCACTGAAATTTAGACAGATATGTGTTTAACTGCACTCCATTTATGGGAGCTTGAAATGTGAAAGACTCCGGCTGGCAGCAAAGGCCTTTAAGGGAATGCTGGGGCCGTGCGGGGAAGTTCAGCCAGGGAAGGAAGAGATCAGAATGAGGGAGCAAAAGAACAGTAGGTTCATGAGGCCTACTTTCACCAGGACTATCAGAAAGTGTAAGTGGACTCAGAAGCTAACAAGTTCTCTGTTACTACAAGATGCAGGCAGAAACTGGCCCCTCAGGTCCCTGTCATCTCTGAGATTCCAGAAAGTCTAAATCAAGACACAGAAAGGGGAAGGAAGACCTGGCTACAAAGCTGTAACTATTAGAAGTTCCCTAGGAGGCCCAGGAAGTGATTCTTTGAGCTTTATTCTTAGTTGGAATCTTTTGCCATCAACCAGAGACCCAACCAGAAGGACCTGAAAGGTGACACCTTAGGAAGTGTGAGAGGAAATCAGAGGGTGACTTGGGTGGTTTCCGCAGCCCCAAGCCTTTAGTCCTGACTGTGGCAATGATTACCACAGAATTTGTACCCTGCCGGCTGTTCCTCCAGAGTGACACCCTAGAGCCTTTCTGCTGTCTGATCTGCTTCCTCAACAAATAACTACAACTCTGGGGGATACTTAATGCGAAGGGCTGTGGAGGGAGGGAGAGTAGAGAGACGAAGTGGCTCCAGTCAGCCTCCATTCCAGAACCATTTACCCTGGCTTCCAGCCCTGTCCCATGTAAGGGACTTGATCATAACAAAACTTCAGCTTTCATTAATTTAGGCCTCAAAAACACAATCAACAAAAGCAAAAAATTAAAATGAAAAATCAAAGAAGGGTTGTTGTTTAATTCCTTATTAAATCCCAGTTCTGAGGTTTCCCAAATTCAATTCCTGGGGGCTGGGGATTTAGCTCAGTGGCATAAGCGCCTGCTTTGCAAGCAGGCAGTCATGAGTTTGATCCCTGGTACCAATAAAAAGGAAAAAGACAAAAAAAAAAAAAAAATTCAATTCCTGGAGAAAGGCATTTCCTTTGCAACTGACATCTATGTTCCAGTTCATAGACCCAAAGAGACCCAGAAATTTTCATCCAGGTCAAGGAAAGCATGAAACCTGCTACTTGAGTTATTCCTGTACTGTCTGTGCTAATGTCCCCATCTGTAAGGAGAGGGGGCGGTGCCTTCTGAAAAACCCCTCTCCCAGTCCCCAAGTGCCATCCCTTTCACTGGTATAAACATGAATAGGAGTCAGGAATCCAATCTTCACAAAATGGAACCAATGTGAACATAATCCATACAGTGTGGGTGCTCTGATTAGAGAGGATCACTGAGCCATCAGGGTTAGATTTAAAATCTAATAACATGACCTTGGAGGTTCTGGAAATCTCCACTGGCTACTCTTCCATATACAGACCATCATCATAGGTTCATGACCCCTTAGTTCCTCTGGTAGACATTTTTTCTCTAAAGCCTAAGATAGTTTGAAATTAATGTTCAAATGCAGGTGAAAATTAAATACAGATCTCTTCTACCATATATATAAAAATGTTTTCTCAGATATATACCAAGAACAAATTGCTGTTGAAAGAAAAGCATGAACAAAATCAGTTGTCACAAGATAGTGACTAGTTTCATGAGAGAAAAATACTTCTAGAGAAATTCCTACTGGTTATCTTTGATATACATAAATATTGGCTCAAAAGAACACCTATTCTTATAAATGGTAACTCAATTTCTTTTTATAGCCTTTTAACGAGAAAGACTTTAACAAAACAAATGTGGGATGTTGATTATTCTTATTAATTCTCAGTAAATATTTGCATTGTCACATTTAGATGTGACAATAATGACAGGACAACTTACCAACAGGAGGGTGACCAGTGGTTGTCATGGAGATCTGGGCCCGGCAAAAAGTTTTGCTGTCCAACAAATCTGTAGCAATGAAAACATAAAAGGCATGAAAAGCTCCCTGCTTGTAGTATCACACTGTGACAGTTAAATGATCACAATAAGGATGGAGAATTGGAGACATAGTGGCACAGCACCTGCCTGGCAAGTGCAAAGTCATATGTTTGATTCCCAACATAAAAAAAAAGAATAAGAATAATAAAGGGTCTTCCATGTTGGGGAGTTAGTTACCTACTGTGCTACCATAGGTGGTGTCATATAAATAGTTTTCTTCTTTCCATGTGTTCATAATAGAAGGGTCTACAAAGAATAAAAAATGGGAAAGATCAATAATTGTTATCCCCAAGATGAAAAATCTGCCTAAGTCCCTGCTCAATCAAATCATCAGAGTAGGAGGTCACCCTAAGATTTAAAGGATAGTATTCTGCTTGAGCTACATGGTATGCCTTGCCTTTCCGGTGTGATGGGGGTCATGGTGTCATGGTCCCATCTGTGTGATCCATACCTGTGGCATTTGGGAGGTGAGAGGAGCTACCATGTGGGATCCTGACCTAGACCACCAGTTTAGTTTTCTTAGGAATTTGTGCAATCTTCTCTCACACGCTACTACATACTCGCCGGAGTATTTTTACCTTGGGGTGGAGGGAAACCCTTGTTAGGGACAAATAAATGTCTGGTTAATGATTAATGAACATCTCTTCCTACAGGTATCTTCCAGGGAAAATCAATGGCAATTTTGGTTTTGTGTTTCTTTTTTTTTTTTTTTTTCAGAAAATGTCTTGTGAGCCTCTCAGCTTCTCCATTTCTGAGACTCACAGGGTACCCTCAAGTTGAGCTACAGCCCCTCCTTCTAGGGTTTTTCCAGTTAGTTCAAGAGCAGACAAAAAAAATCTCAAAACAACACCAAGGAGAGGGGAAGAGAATGTTACTAAAGCAAACAAATGACTTGCAAGATTGGGGCCCCACTGCCTCATCTGGGGTCGGGGAGGAGGAGCGTGGCTTTGAGCAGCCGACTCTTTCCCCTGAGTGCTGGGTAAGCACACCTCAGGCCGACCTGCTTCTAAGGAAATTCCCCTCCACCTACCACTAGTGGAGTCCAGCTCCCACACAACCCCCAGATCTTGGCTGGTCACCAGCTCAGCATCTGCCTTGCTGTCTGGCCAAGAAGATCTCTCACCTTCTCCCTGAACACTCCCCACCCCCTGCACCTCCACCCTTCTCCGCCTTTGCCATAGTTCAGGCTGCCTCTGCCCCTTTCCTGCCTGGGTGCTGAATTTTAGGGCCAGGGTGGTAAGTCACTGGCCAAGTTTCATTCTGTTTTTATAGCACGAATGGCATAAAACCTGACTCACTGGCTAAGTCCTCTTGTTTACGACATAGGGATTTAGCTGGTATTTTAACTAATAGCTACGTGTTTGGGCACCCCAAGCCCAGGCTCTTGGGGTTACACCCTCTCTCCTTGTTGGATCACTTTGTACACCTGTTGTTGTCTCTGAAAACAAACTGAACCAAAGAGGCTTGGGGGTGTTGGCCCCTCAGAGAGCCACTGCTCCCCTCCTCCCAGGGTGGACCTTCTTCTCCACCCTTTAGCTTTTCTGAACTGGAAACACGGGAATCTCTGGATGGTCAAGGAAGAATTATCAAGTTTTTTGAGACCTGTCCAGTATCACTCTGGCCTTCCAGTGGAGCAATCTGTAAGGCCAAGGGACAGAGTATCCTTTTAGTCAGAGGACATATCTGTCCCTAGGACCAGGACTGTAAAAGCACAGACCATCTAAGCACCCTGTCCCTATCTATTCAGAGGAGAGCAGGGTGAGGGAGGCCTAATTAACATACTTAGCAGACATTTTTTTTTCATGTAAAAGAGTCCCCTTATAAAAGAGTAAATAACTGCATGGGCCAATTTGGTGCCAAGTGACTCACAAATCACCCCAGGTCAAATTCTGTCCTTGGTGACTGGCACACAACCCACAGGGGAGCCTGTGGCAAGAGTGGTCAGCCCACAAGGCTCCCAATCTTCCTGATGTGGACACAGGGAGTGGCCCAGGAATGATGGCACCTGCACTTTTATCGTGGCTGTGGACTCTGGAACAGCAGAAGGGGAACAAAGTGAGCACCGATACTACAGGACTAGAGACTCTGCCTCTAGCGTCTCTCATGTGAAAATGTCCTTAAGAGAGAAGTTGAATTTCATAGCTGCCTTTAGACATCTCTATAAGAACCCCACACGGCTCCAAAATCTACACCAACTAGACTATTAACTCAGCGTCTGATAAAGCACACTCTCATCAGGAGAGGTAGGGGAGAAGAGGAGACACTGGCTTTCTCTTCTCTTGCCCTGCTTTCTGAACTTGGCCAAGTCTGATCCCTTCCCTCTTTGCTGGTGAGGATGCTCACTTTAGGTTCTGCATTTCTGCAGCTACTGGCCAGGAGTCCAATTATGCCCTGACAGTGGTAGGAAGTAGAAAAATGTGGACTCACAACCCCCCTATATATCAGAAGGAGTTGGGGGCCAACAGTCCCAAGGAAAAGGGTAGCCCATGGGAGCCACACAGGGAAGTGACCTCCTGGGTTCCCTGCCAGAAGCTGCTGCTGTGCTCTGTCTTACATGCCATTATAATTGTCCCCACTTCTCACCTCCCCCCAGGATTTTGCCTAACCAAGTTGGTTCTCTGCCTCTCTCACCACTCACCGTTTTGTTCAGTCTTGACAATGACATTGTGCGTGGACTGGAACAGGTCGCTGCTGCACTGGCCTGTGAAGGACATATTGGGAAAGTCAAAGAGAGCCCAGATGGAGGCAAAACGCCATGCGTCAGTAAGAATGGAGTTGGCTGCTTTGAAGAGTGAGCTTCTGTCATCTCACTATGTTTGCCTATAGAACATTTCCCTCTCAGCCTACAGGTTCAAGCCTGGAGATGTCCCTGACCCCAGGAAAATCTGCAGTCTAGGGCATGCCCATCAGCTGGGACTATTCGTGTTGAAGAAGGAAGGCATCTACTACAATGGATGTGGAACTTCACAAATCAGAAAAGCAGTTTTTCCATTACTAGCTATAAGGCACTCATCTTTTTGAGCCTCAGTTTCCTCATCTATTGATGTAGGGAATTAAATTAGAATCACTAAGCAAGTTCTAGGTGCTGTCACATATCAATATATGAAGTAAAAACAAAACTTCAGGAAAAAACATTTTAATAGGCTTGATTTTTCTTTGATTTTAAATTTGGTCAAATTCATCTTGATTAGATCCAATATACACAGTGCTGGTTATAATGCAGTAAGTCTTTATTTATCACCTCAGTCCTAGAACAAATGGTACATATCACGCGTCCTAGATTTTTACAACTCCTCTCGAGTTATATCATATAAAAGCACATATTTTATATGTGAGTGAATCAATATTTTTTTTCCTCCCAGAGAGACTATTTCAGGAATAGGAGTCATGCCTCTAACCTTCAGTTTTCTCATCTGCAAAGTGATATAATATTTATTTTGTCATAAGCTCATTCAATAAATTAACTCACTTAGAGCATCCAATATAAGTAAATAATAAAAACAAGTTAATAGAATGTATACCAAAAAGTAAATAGAAAGACAAGGGTAAGAGTCTGACCATTAGGCATTCAGAGGCCTTGGTGGCACACAGGGAGAGCAAACAGGTTCTGGGAGGTCAAAGGTGGAAATGGCCGCAGCACCTCCCAGGCCTCAGGCTTCAGTCACAGCAGAGCTTTAAAGGACTGGATGTAATTGGAGGTGAGGAGGTAAATATTTTTAATTCTTCAGCTATAAGTCGGCTCTTTCTGAAGACTCCTGGGAGTTATTTATAGGGCCTTGTTTAGTTTGGTTCTTATAAATGAAAAATGAGCAACCAAGGTGGTGAGGTGAGTGGGAAGAAGGGAGTGCCAGGGTGCTGAATGAGGTCATCCAAAATGGCCGCCTGAGCTGCCAGCTCCACAGCCAAACTCCTGGGTCCTCCGCAGTGTTGACTGCAGCTATCAGGGTCCGACTCTGCTTCATAGTCTTGGAACTCACATTTCCTTATCCTTAGTCACCCACTTAAACACCAGTTCTACTTAGACATAGATAGCCTTTCCAATATGGCGGCACCAGCTCACTGTCCTAGAACATCCCTCCTTTCAAAGATGTCTGCAGTTCTCAGAGAAGCTAATTTTACATCCACTATCAGAGGAACCTTATGTCACTGTCAAAGGCATTCTGCAAGATGAGTTTTTTGCCCTACAGGGCCTTATGAGGCAGTGTAGAATGTGTGTGTGTGTGTGTGTGTGTGTGTGTGTGTGTGTGTTAATAAACTATCACCAATGCACACAATGCTAGGTGCTAGATACTAGGTGCTAGACGATGACTGAAGAGACACTTGAGGTTTTAGGGCAGCATCAGTTCCAGAAATCACCACAGAAATGACCGCACAAGTCCAGAGTATCGGTTCTAACTTTTCTCTCTGTGTCTCTCTGTCTCTCTGTCTTTCACTGTCTCTGTCTCTTTCTCTCTTTATCGCTCTCTTTCTTTTCTTTCTGTTTTAAATCTCTTAAGAATCTGCCAAAAAAAGGATGAGCTTGTCCCCTCCCAAACACACAGATTTAATTTTCTATATCTTCTTACTACCTTAGACCTCCAAAGAACCCACAGAGATTTGTGTTTTCATTTGTTTGCTTTTTAAAGTAGATGATAATCTTTAACAAGCAAATGACTGGGAATTAAACTACTGAACTCTGCTAGCAAAGGTATAAAAACAAGTTTTCTAGAGGCAGAAAGTGTCCTGTTAATGCCCAGTCAGCCCCCATCTCCCTGGAGATGAACACAACCAGAAGAGAGAATTGAATTATGTAGGAAGACACACAGGGTCCCCCAGGTTTTGTTTCTGTCTTCTCACCTTCCTCCTATTTCCCTGTCTTGTTCTTTTTTTTTTTTATCGGTACCAGGGATCGAACTCACGACCGCCTGCTTGCAAAGCAGGTGCTTATGCCGCTGAGCTAAATCCCCAGCCCCCTATTTCCCTGTCTTAATAGAATGTATACCAAAAAGTAAATAGAAATGGTCACTGGGGCCAAGACCATTCTTCACTGTTCTGGATAAGGATCCCTCCCAGCTGCAGACCTCTGAGTTTCCCCACCATCACCTAGCAGGACAGGCAGAGGGACAGTCACCATTCCACTTGAGATGCTGCAAGCTGCTGTAGAGAAGCTGTCCCGCCGTGCCTGCTGCCCTTGTGAACTCCTGCAGACTCATGCTACACAGGTGCTCGCCGTTGATGTCAAACTCCTGAAAAGGGATGCAGCTGGCGTCCAGCTGGTTGGTGTCCAGGAGGTGCTGCAGCCACTCCCACACCTGATACTTGGTCCAGTACTGGGGATGGATTTCATGCCACTGGCCTCCGAAGAACCCGCTGGAAACTGCAAAACAGGAAGTAGCACTGTGAGTGGTCTCTGGTTATTGCTGGGGAGTCTCACATTCGGGATGCCTTGCGGGCTGCTGGATGCCATGGGGACACAGCCCCAGATTATGAGCATCAGCATGGCGGTTGGAACCGCAAAATAGCTTGGTAGCCTCAGTGAAGCTCACTGCTGCCCCACTGGCAAAGTACCACAAAAACTAAAGCATTGCTGTAGTTTAGGCACAGATGTGCCCATCTCCCACCCCCATATGACTTTGGTACAATCGTCCCTTGGTTCCCATTGGGGTATGGTTTCAGGATCCCTCATGGATCCTAAAATCCTCAGATGCTCAAATCCCTACGCAAAATGGCATGATGTCTGTAACCTAGACGTATCCTCACATGCATTTTAAATCATCTCTAAATGTCTCGCAATCCCTAATACAATGAAAATGCTATATAAATAGTTGTTGTGCCGTATTATTTGGGGGAATAATGACAAGACAAAGTTTGTACGTATGCAGTACAAATGCTGAAATTAGGCACAGAACTGACAAGCCAGGTGTGGAGACTCTTTGCTAACATTAGTGATCTATGACTCTGTCTTCTGCACTGCTCTTCCAGTGCATTTTAATCTTACCTCTTCCTTCTGTTGAATTCCTACCTGCCTTTCAAATTCTGACCACCAGTAAAGCCATCCCTCACTTCCAGGGCTCCTTGTCTTTTGATTCTTCAGGAGCTTGGGCTTTCCCCTAGTGGCCTCTACCATCTTCTGCTCATCTTTACAGGTCTTATTCTTCTTTGTAAATTGTATGCTCATGGTCATGGACTCTGTCTCACTACATGGTCTATAAAATGACCTCAGTGACCTTGCCATACTAGAGGCTCACTATATGTTTGTTCAGTGGAACTGGCTGCTGAATAAGAAATAATGCAGGAGTATGGAAACATTGGGGAATGCACTAAGAAGATGTTTAATTCAAATACTAGTGAAGAATGAAATTCACTCAGGTAGATAGTGTTGAGCCTATCATGGCTAGCCATCTATGTAAGTGATTCTAAATTGCTCAGTTCATGGAATATCATGTAATTGGTCCAAAGGCATATGGTGGTGGGAGGTGGGCATTGGAGAAGAGTCACCCAGTCTCTGGGGCTAAGTTATAGTCCCTTGAGAAGAGTTGCCAAGAGGAGAAGCTGTGGTCCAAGAAGGGTGAGAAGTGGATGCTATCGCATTCCACCAAGCTGAAGCAGGAAAAATCCAACCAAGTATGTCACTAACTCAAGATATGGACTGGGAGCAGGAAAGGTGTGTGCAGAGAAACTAGCTGTAGTTGTCTATTCAAAGCCATGGTAGACCACTACTTCCCAAACGTCAATGTGTGCATGAGCCACAGGGAACTGCTGCTCACACAGTCTTTGATCCTGATGCAGTGGGTCTGAGGTGAGGCCAGGGTGTCTGCATTCCTAAAAAGCTTCTCATGTTGCTGATGCAGACGGGCTGTGGAGTGACAGGGTGATTCCTGGCTCTGAAAGGTCTCATTCCCTCAACACTCAATTATTCACCCAAATATATTAAGGGTTTCCGCAGCCCTCAATTTATTTGGTGCTTCATAAAACTAGCTATTTAAGAATGGATATGTTTTTGGAGCTCTCCCCAAATCTTTGATTCTTTTCTACCCTCAAATAATTGTTTTGCTGTGACAGTGAAGTTCTAATTTTACCAACAGGATTCAACAACTTTCCATAACCCCACAACAGACCAGAAATAATCTCTTCTCTAAACTCTAGATTAAAGGTGAGTTTCTGTTTTTGTATCCTGTTTAGCCTGGAAAGAAGCAAGAGAGAATTTTGTCTGAAGTTAACTGGGGGAAGATCTATTAGCAGACAGAGAGCTCATCAAACGTCTGGGTTTTCAGGAGACACGTTTGAAAATCTTGTGAATTCTGATCTTTTCTATCATTCTGCTGACCTCCTTCTTCTAATTTGATGAAGAACTGACCTTCTCTGGGACCTTTAGAAATTAAGAAATAAAAATGGTCAAATTCTACTTCCCACTAAGTAAAAATCTCTCCAATGTTTTCCAAAGCAAACAAACAAAATACATATTTCCTTCTCATCAAAGGCCTCAGGACCTGAGGATGCTCCAAACTCTCTGCTCTACATAGAAGCTTCTTTCTAGGTCTCTACAGAGAGTCTAAGGCCTATAGCAGAAAATGTAACTGCCTAGAAAAAACATCAGTGTGGCAGGACAAGTGATTAAATAAGGAAAGACCACTTGTTCACATTTTCTACCTGTTTGTCTGAGATTCCAAATTAAAAGAGGTGCTCAAGACGTGGTATGTCTATGTAGCAATTCCCTACAATGGATGCATTTATTATGTATTGCAACCATACAGCAATAAAAAAGGAAGAAAAAAACAAATTAAAAGAGGTGGAGCTGCACATGGAAGCCTTGTGGGAGAATGTCACCCTCCACCGGCCTCCCACTCCTGCTTCTCAGACTGTGCTTCCCATTCAGCTGTGTCCTCATTTCAAGACAAACGAGCAGGAGACTCTCTGGTGGGAAGATTAACAGCAGGTGTGGGTGGGAGAAGGCTCAGAGCCTCTTGAGCCCAGCGCTGCTGGATGCTCAGCAGCCTTGTACACTGAAGCCTTCACTGCGGAGGGTGGGGCATCTGATTCAGCAGCAGCTTTATTCTGGGCAGCTTCTGCAATAAGCCACAGGCTTGATCAACAAACCCTCTGCATGCCTCCCTCTGTGGATCAGTAAGTTCTAGAGATTCAAGTAATCCAGGTACCTGGTTCCCTGGGCAATTTCTCTCCACTTACACAGGGAAATCACTGAAAGATGAACTAGAAAGATTAAGCTACTGTTAGCCTCCATGTTCATGTGTGTGTTAGATACAAACATAACACACACACACACACACACACACACACACACACACACACGTGCATGCATACTCTCCCTTGTCCTTCTTTGATACATCTCAGCAAAATGCTGTTGAAAGTTTCAACAGGAAGTCTTCACTTTGGGTATCTCTTCTACACCCTCACTGCCAGGATGCCAACATGGAACCTTGCATTTTGGTTAGACACAGTGCAATATTTAAAATGGGCTTTTATCCGATGCCGCTGGGGCCTCCAGAGAACTCTAGTATTAAGAATTCTCCAGGCCTGGGGGCATAGCTCAGTGGTAGAGCTTATGTGTAGTGTACATGAAGTCTTTCGCTGCAAAAATAAAAACAAAAGAAGTTTTCTCCTTTCTGTCTGGTTGTCAGTGTCCTCTGCCTAACACTTGTAGTTTTCAGATGTCAGGTTGGGAGGGAAATTAAAGCCAAGGAAGAATGCCCATTGGGCAGGGAGGCACACAGTGCACAGCCCTTACCATTGCACGTGGGGTAGCTGTCTGTCCAGGCTGGCTGCTGGTGAAGGAGGCTGCTGCTGGGGTTGAGATTCATTACACCACTTCCTTCCAGAATCATGATCTGTAAGGGACCAAACAGCGCATTCAATCAGTGCACCTGGGACAAAAGTCACTCGGAACACAGATCACAGAGTTAATTTCGAAAGAGAAAAAAAAAAAAAAAAAAGAATGTGTCCACCCACCTATGGCCACAGCACATTCAGTAAAAGCAGAACGCACAGCAATCAAAAATTTCCAGGTTCAATTTTCATATGATTAAGGCAAGTTTTTACAGCCACCCATTCATAAATGAATAATCTCTGATCAGGAATGAAGCAGAAGGGAAATTCAATCCCTGTTCCCAAGGCAACTCTGGCTGGCATCCAAGGGTGTGTATGTGCGTGTGTGTGTGTGTGTGTGTGTGTGTGTGTGTGTGTGTATTTATAAACGTGAAAATGCAAAGGAAATTTTACTTAAAGTGGAATTTCAATCGATGAAATTTTGAACCCAGCACCTTTGCTGGCCTGGGAGGGTAAGAGTCTCAGTTGTATTTTAGCAGATCTCCTTCAGGATTTGTCTTTGTGATAATATCAGAAATTATTTGGTTTGTCTGATAGGCACTGCCCCTTTCTGGTAAAGAGAATTAAATTTTTCCTTCTGGTAAAAGTTATGACCAGCTTTTCTTCTCTTGTGACAGACTTGGAGAATTCAGTGGCTTTAAAACTGATCTGAGGAAACATTTTCTCAGTTAGAGAACCTGTGAACTGAGCTTTCTTCCATGAGTCTGTCTGCTTTTTCTAAGCAACATGAAAGTGTTACACTTGTAATCATACAGAATTTATGACAGTTGCCTAACCCTAAGCTGGGCACACTCCACCGTTCCCCCGTGGATGTGAGCAATATTGAAAGGAAGAACAAACAGTTTCTGGAAAGTTATTGATCACTGCCGGGAGGCTGTAAAAGTTGCTTTCTCTTTCTAAAATGTTGGAGTGAATAGCTGTACTATTAGGCAGACCATAGAAATGTTTCCACCTATTTGGTGGAAATCGTTCATCCCTGAATACCACTGATTTCTACAGATTGGAATTCACATCTCTTCCCCAATGTAATTCCAGCTTTGACAGAGCCCCCACTTCCAATGGAGCCTGCTTCTGCATTAGGTCTGTGTGGGGGAAAAAAGGATCCTGCACAAAGCATAAAAATGCATTCTTGTATTTGTTTATTCCACAAAATATTTGTGAAATTTCAGCCCAATGAAAGGCTGAGCACTGTTCTAGGTTCTGAGGACAGAGAAGTGATTAAGGGCTGAGGTAGGTTGGACACAAATATTTATGATAAGTATTAGCATTGTCGTCATTGTTGCTTGGTAAATAATGAGGCTCCAAACCAGCCTAAGAGGCAGATGGAGAAGGAAAGATAAGCTAGAACCCCCACTGGGAAGATAGCAGAGCTAGGTTCCATGACCCATGGCCCTTACAAGTGACCTGACTCCAGGACATAGAAAGTTGACTGCAACTTCTACCACTTTGTAGCTCAAGTTCCTATTAACTCATGCAAGTTACTTAACCTCCCAGACCCTAGGTTCCTCATACACAAAAAGCAAATAATTCTATCTAGCCTGGATGTTGGTTGGAAGTCAAATGGTTTCTATCCCTTGAGCATTTGGCTTCAAGTAAAATACGATTTAGTAGGACGGGTGTTACGATGAGGAAATTTGTCTCCTCTCTGTATAACTTGAATTAGAAACAACTCCAGGCCTCAGTCTCCCCATCTGATAACTTAAGAAGGTAACTACGCTGGTTTTTAAGTTCCCTTCTGGAAACTACTTTGGTTCTCACCTTTAGAGACAAAAAGTCACGTCAGGTCAAACGATCCACTTGCTTTTGTTTTTACAATAACTAGACATTTCCCTCATGCTATATTCTAGAGCAATCACTCTAAAGCCAAGAAATCAGTCTGCAGACCTCAAGGTTAAAGGTGGCTGAGAGAAGGGTACCATGGGGCCTGGGCTCCTGTTTGCTCAAGGCTGGGCTTCTTCCTGAGCAGCTTTTGCTCACCCACAAGCAGTGGAAAGGTTACTGTTTAACCCTGAGAGAGAGGGCGGGGCTCCCAGCCCGGCCCATTTGTGGCACAGCCCTCCAGCTAAAGACAGGTCAGGAAAGGCTCCCCTCAACTTCTCCCTCGAGGCTGGCCCTGGGGGCTCTTTCACAGTGGTCATTTCAGTGGAACCAAGACCTGGCTGGCCACCTCTGAGCTATCCCTGTCGACCAACTCAAGGATTTGATTCGCTGCTCCCTAACTACTAGAAAGTAGGCTCCAGTGGTGCCAACTGCCCAGTTTGAAAATGGGGAGCTGTGGGCTTAGATTCCAGTTCGCCCATCCTTTGTCGATGACTTAGAGTTTCAAATCTGTCTAGTCAATAACTTCCTGAACTTTGCTTTCCCCAGCTGTTAAATGGAAGCAAAACCAAACTAGAGGGAGAATCCCATCTCTCTGTGTATGTAGAGAAATTATCAGGTAATAGAAAAATAAAATAAAATAAATTGTGTCTCAGGCTAATTCTCAGTTCCTTTTCAGAAGGCAAGTGTCATGTCTCACCATGACCTGAAAGAATCCAGAACTACTCCCCTTGCACAGAGAAGCCTTTGAGGAGAACTACAGGGTCCACGCTTCCCCCTCTCCCAGGCTGTCCTGACCTGAGATCCCAAGCTTTGCACCCCCTTTCTGAGGGAAAGCAGCCAGCACGGTGAGGGGCCCTTTTTACAGAGCACATTAAATGGTTACCACTCATAAAAAAGTTTATGTGGCTTAACCCTTAGTGAGTCAGAGTTCGCTGGAACTCACCCAGGCTTGTGAATAAAGAGGGTCAGGGACTCAGACCCCACAGGGAGCTGCAAGGAGGGTGCCTTTGGGGGGTGGGGGGTGCTAGTTATCCCCAAGGCCTCTGGATCCATGCTACTTCAAGGCCCAGATTTTCAGGAATAAAGTGAAGACATTTTTCTATACCAGTCTCTCATGACAGTTGAGATCAACTAGGATAATGGATAATAAATGTGCCTTGAGAACTGTAAAAAAGCCCTATTACAACCAACACACCCAAAGCCCCATACACGAATCTGGACTTTCCATGATATATAGTGAGTACTTTAGAGTGTAGGAAAAGCAACCATTTAATTGAAAAGTAGGAGGACTATTAACGCTCCTTGTTCAGTTCCCTCCTTCACCTTCAGCATCTTTCTTTTCTTTTCTTTTTTTTTAAATGGATGAATAGAGCCTTGGAATCAAAGGTCCGAGCTAGATTCCAGGTCCCATCTTTCAGCCATGTGACCTTGAATATGTTAAGCATTCTGAGGCTCATTTGTCTTCACTGGCTTGAACAGGGTGGGACTGGATAGTGGGTAACAGTGATCTCCTCTAAGAGCTATTTTGAAGAGTCAATACTGTGGGTTTAAAGGTGTTTAGTCCAGATGTGGGCATGCAAGAGTCAATATTGTGGGTTTAAAGGGTGGGCTTAACAGTGTCTAGTCTAGTGCCTGGCACATAAGCCCCCAGGGAAAACCACTATCCTTTCTCTTAACAGTAATCCTAGAGGAGGATTTTTAACACATTTTACTGCTTCCAAGACTGCAACCTTGGTTCAGAGCCTGAGGAAGATGGATTCAAATCTGCGTGTCCAAAGCAAGCTGGAATAGGACTCATCTCTCTCCATCTTCAGCTTCTAGAGGTGAGGATGGAAAAGAAAGGCAAAGACATCCACAGCCATACCAGATAGTGATTAAAAGGAGAGTTTTACAGTATTCCTGCAATTGAAGTTTGGGCCTGAATAATTCTCTTTTTAACAATTTTTTAAAGTTAACATATATTTATATGTAAGTTATGGGATATAGTAAATTCATTCAATAAATTTCTACAGTGTATAATGATCAGATCAAAATGATCAGTATTTCTATCTTTTCAAAACATTTATTACTTTTATGTATGGGGAAACTCTTTTAGTTTTAGACTACAGTTAATCTACGGTGCTTTAAAATACTAGAACTAATTCTTCCTATCTAACTGCCCATTTGGTACCTGTTACCCACCCATTCTGTATCCCTCCTTCTCCCCACCTCCTTCCACCTCTGGCGGAACGCTGCTCTTTGCTTCTGAGAGGTCAAATGTTCTCTTTTCCAGAAAGCAGTGAGAACAGGCAGTGTTTGTCCTCCTGTACCTGATTTCTGTCACTTAACATGATGTCCTCCAGTCCTGCCCACTTCACCACAAATAGCAGTATTTCATTCTATTTATTAACTGGTGATACTCCCTTGTGTGTGCACACAACATTTTCTTTATCCATTCATCTATTAGTGGCTAAGTAAATAGTGCAGCAATAGATATGGGTATAGATGGAGCTGGAGAATTCTCTACTCTGGGGCTGTTTTGTGCATTGTCCGATGTTTAGCAGGATCTTTGCCAACTTGATTCCAGTAGCACTCCCCCCAAATAACCCCTGGATCCAAATCACAGCTGGTTGAGAACAATATCTGAAAACAAAGCCTGTGGCTGCAGAAGCACGAGCTCTGCTGTCCGCTGATGTGGCAACCTTGGCCCTTGATGAGACTCTTAGCTGCATTTCCTCTCCTGCGCAATGGACAGCATTGGTCCCTACCGCATAGGCTGGCAGAGGATTAAACAGGATAAGGACCTCCGAGCCCACAGCAGTGCCTGGCACGAACAGAGCAACTGCCTCATCAGTGGAGTTTGAAGCAAATGCACTATGCATGGAGCATCCCTGATGTATATTCAGAAACTACAGTATAAATTATTCCTTGCACTTTTAAAAACTGAACACATGCCACCAAAAAAACTCTAAACTTTATTTCAAACCCACTTGCTCAGGAATTTCTTTATAAATATCCTCAGATACCCATTATGGGCAGAAACAATCAGGGAAGAGTGTTTGACTACATGCCCCTTTCACATTCACCCAAAATTTCACGCCTCCATGAAATGCTCACACAAATAACCATTTGGGGTCGCAGAAGTCTGTACTTCATTTGAAGAGAAAAAGCAGGGCACAGTACCCAAAAGACTAAAGCACAG